TACAACAATATTTTTCATTTTTACCTTTTTTACAATAATTTTCTGAATTTTAAGAATCTCTATCAATCAAGTAATCTAAAAAGTTTAGCGCCAAAAGATTTATATTTGAATTTTCACAAATATACTAAAAATATTCATTATTATTTTTCATAAAATTAGACACCTGTTTATGCAAATGAAAATTGTTTTTATTTTACTCGTCTTGTCTCTCACTTTTTATCTCTTTTTTATTATATTTTGCATTATATGATTATTTTTGGTATTTCAAACTTCTCATTTATTATTTTTTATTATATAGATTCCAAATATCCTTGAATCTCTATTTTTTAATATTTAATAACTAAAACCCCTTTTTATTTTATTTTTGCTTTCTGTTGATTATTATACTAAATAATTTTTAACTTTGAATCATCTATTATGCATTTTATTATTGACTTTATATATTAAGATTAAGAATCCTCTCTAAATAACCAAAAATATCAATGAACCAATTGAATGATTAATTTTCAATCGATTTCCTTACTAATTCTGAGTTAAACTTATTTTAATTCATTATTTTTTTCTAAACAATTTCTAAATCTGATAAATTTATTATTAGAAATTTTTTGATAATTTTGAAATTTAGAATGCAAAAGAAGATGGGTCATTGAGCTCAAGAATGTAACTTATTAAATTTTATATACTCATATTAATACGTAAAAGTACATTAGCACATTATTTTTTTACTTAAAATGTCAATCAAGTTCTAAACTAAATTAAGAATAATATCTTAATCGCAGATTATATTGATTAATTTAAAAAATTATTTTATACATATCATACTTCTAAGTAAAAAATAATTATTAACAATATGATTTTGAATTTATTTATTGTGATAATCAAATTCTTTTCTAATAAAAAAATTACCACCACTAGACTGTTATTAGGTTTTCTTTCTCCTGAAAAAAGGTATGCTACATCAAATTAGTGAATTTAATTGTTGAATATACTTATACACTAGATAGCTTGTGGAAATTATTTGGTTAAAATGGGAATATCTAATAAATTCTTAAAGTTTTGAAAATTAATTTGTTAAATCTCAAAATACTTTTTCCAATTCCATAAAACAAAAATGTAAATAAAACGAAGAAGTTTAAATTAACTTTATTTTCTATATATCCCTAATTAATTATATTGTTATAAACAGATATTCACATTAGAATTGTTAAACTAAAGATATATTTCAAAAATTCTAAAATAATAAAATTTCAAAAATTTTAGCTTGGTTAATAATTAAATAATTAACAATATCCTTATTATTTGCAACAATTAACTCTGTCATAATTTTTAATTATATTTTATCATGAAAAAAATATTTTCTTATAAGCAATTTGAGACTTTGATTGTGAAATTCAAATTTTATGATGTTTATAAGTAATTAATTTGATGAATTAATTACTTAACATAATGAATTTCAAAATTATCTAAAGAAATTTTTTAATTTGATTAAAATTTCATAGATTCAATTTTAAAACAAATATTCAAAGAAGTTCTTAATTTATTTAAATATTATTTAATTAAGTTATGATAAATAATGTTGAACAGTTATTATGGGTATCATTATTTAGTTATGTAGAGCCAGCTAAACATTTTTCAACTTATTAGATGTTTAATTCTATGTATAAGTTTAAGAAGAATTAGTGTAGTATTTCCGTTAACTTTATCAGTAGCTGAATTAGGTGTGAATGCACAAACAACTTTATTTGTACCATTTAATCTTTCTCCATTACATGCTTTTTGTATTACAAGCACATTTTCACCAGGAATATCATCACCACAAGCAGAATTATTTATATACTCATCTATATCTTCAAATTACATTGATCTACATGATTGGGTTTGTGTAGTTTAACCAATAGGGTAAAGAAGATATATGTACAATCTGCTTCTCCGTACCATCCAGGTCGTATAACTTGGGCAATGTTAAAGAGGATACATTTAGTTCCATCGGTTTTATTGGAACTGTAAATTGGCTGTTAATGGAGCTACAGTTTTTGGTAATTGAGGCTATACCCATATCAGATAAAAAATATATTAATGATAAAGATATTAAATATAATTTTATAACTAGTGCTCCATTTACTAGATGAAAGACTTGTGATTACTTTTTTTATCCAAATAGTAGTGGTCTTTATTAAAAAGTGACTGATTCAACTAGTTTAACTAAAGTGGCATCACAATCTTGTGCTAATTAGAAAATAGATTCAACTAAGATAGAAGCATAAAAGAAAATCATTATATTGTAATAGTATTAAGACAAACTGCTATTTTCAAACTAGATGTTAAAATGGCTGTGACAATAATGGAATACATTTGTCACATCATTTATTGCTTGAGGATAATGGGGAAGCGTTGCTCTTACTAGAGCCAACACAAAAAATAATTTCTTTGAGCAAGAATAGGTTTAACTTGTGATGCTGCAACATGCGAGGATATTCAAAGGCTGTAAAGTTAGGGAGATTGTGATAATCAAATCTGGCAATTTAAATAAAATAACATCTACACTCGATTGTGCCATCAGTTTCACTGTAGTACCTTGCACACAAAATGAACATAAAAAGATGCTGGTGATACTTGTATGTACGATGCAACTATAAAAATTCACATATTGTAATATCAAAGTTGATACTAAATTTGATAATTGCACTTATATCAGGTGCATTTGACTATTGAGGTTATAATTGCTTTGATATTACTGATTCAACATCATAAATTTGATTTGATTAGGAGCTTTTGATAGGAAATAAACATATATTTTAGAAACCTTTATAATCCAAATTATGGTTGTGCTAAAGTTTCAGCATCAGGAAAAAATTAGAAAGCCTATTGTAATTATTAATATCCTATACTAGTTATAAAGGTATAAATGAATGTGCCAATTTCTTAAGATAAGAAAATAAAAATGAAGCAACTTATAATGATGAAACTGAATGCACAAATGATGTTGATAGTTGAAAAAAATAATTAAACATATATAAAAAAACTACTAATTGTAGTATAAAATTTTAAAGTCATAAGTTTTGTATAAGTACCTAATATATAATCGTAAGCTTTATTTGTCAATTATTATTTAAATAGTATAATCCTGCTTTCAAGAATCTTCAAGTTGATTTCTTAAAATTACATCTTAATGACTATATGGATTAGTGATATAGCATTTAATACATGTGTCTTGATCATGTTTTAATTAGGTACATAAGGTTGTATTAAAAACCAAACTTATTCCAACACAAACACATTCTTGAATCCATACTTCACAAGTTGAATTATCTTGTGCTTGGACATTTTTGAACAGTATTTTTGTATAAAGTTGTTTCTATAGCTAATGCTGTATTTGTTGCAAAAATCTTGGATAAGCGATTAAATTTTTATAAAATCTTAATTTTTTATTCATTTATTTATCATTCCCAACCTAATTGGATTATTTTGTAATCTTCATTTTTATCGAGTGACTTGAAAATTTTTGGCTGTTTGGTTAAATAAATTTGTATTAAATTACCTTAATTTGCTCCTCGTGTAATTTCTATATTGATAATTATAATGGCCAAATCTAAGGTTAATGAAATAAAATTCTTTTAGCAAAATATTTTAATAACTAAATATTCTAGTTATGTAGATTAATAGTTTATCATTTCAAAGGATATATAAAATGATGAATTATAAGTGAATTCTTTTTCTTTCTCATTATTAAATAAATTATTCTGAAAGCAAAAAATTCTTTAAACCCATCAATTATCAATTTTTTTCAAAAGAAAACTTCCCGAGTTAATAGTCCATTTTCCAAGTCATTAAGTCAATTATTAGTTGGCTAGTATTAATAGAAATTATTTTTATAAATTACTCTATTTTTTTCTAAATAATGATAAAAATTCGTTAATTAAAAATTTTTATGAGACTAAATTATTCATGACAAATTTGGAGTATTTATTTTTTGAGATAAATAAAACTTTAAATACTATAAATCAGAAGGTGAAACTTTTGATCAATTATATTAAATTTTCGATAGGTGTAAAACACATAAGATTTATCATAACAAGTTACTAGAATGTATTGATTTAGATTTCTATTGGTATCTCATTTATAGTTATGATAAGCATGTAAACCGAGATAATGCTAAAAAAAATTCTCAAGAATAAATGGCAAAATATTTACTATTAATGAAGAAGCTCAAATAAAATACATGAGAAATCAAGGACTTTTAAATTTAAAACCTAATGATATTGAAAAAATTCTTACAACTTTAATATGCCCTCAAACGAATCATGTATCTATTTTAACCATAAGCTTTCTGAAAAAGCTCAAGTCTGATAAACACACTACTTGGGATTTTATTTTAGTGAATGCAATCTTTTATTCAATAATGAAAAAATTAAAATTGTATTAGAGTGCACCATTTTTTATGAAACCTATAAATTTTTGGATTAAGAAATTATCCAAAATAAGAATTCTAGTGCATTATTTAACAAATATAAACTATATTATTTCATAATTAGTTTATAGCAAATGATGTAATAATGCATAATTTAATTTGGCAAAGAGATCTTAATTATACTTCTCCTAATTTTAATTCTCTTAGATCTCATTTTTGTTGAATTCATTAATATTTTGATTTTTCATTTTTTGTTAAGCACTAATCAAAATATAAACTAAATAACCAGAATGATTTTATTAATATACATAGCAGACAATTTAAATATAATAAATGAAGAAAAAGGATTTTTTGAAATAATTTGGATGTACTAGCAGAAAATTTAAAAACATAAGTTATTAAAATTATTTTTTGTTATATCATATCCTTAAACTACTATTTAAATTTGAATATTACCTAGATAAAGTTAAATTATTGACAAAAATCTTAAGTATTATTATGATTTAGACTGTTAGTGAGTAAAGGTTAACATCAAAATGAATGATTTTTTTATGATGTCTATTTAATTTAGGAAATTCTTGCTTATTTTTTAACAATATTTATTAAAATTTATCAAATTTCCATTCAGAAGAGAATGATAAGTTAAGCATAGTAAAAAATTAATGTTAAATTTTCTTTCAATAATAAATTAAAATGTTATACTATATAACATAGATGATGAAATTGCACTGTTTAGTATATAGTGTCATTTATTCAATATAAAAGATATAAAACTCATAATTACTAATGACCTTTTTAATTTTTCTTATAAGCCTTAAAAAATGCCGTTGTCTCTTTATAATCATTTCATGAACTGGAAAAATTATTTAATTGGAATAATCGGATTCTATGAAATATAGATTGTTAATTTTTCAGTTATTAAGCAATTTAATATTGATTTGGTTTGATTTTTATATGTTCTAGTCAAGAATTTAGGAATAGAAATTGGAACAATTTCAAAATAAAATATTCTATTGAGAGAGAATCTTTAGATTTCAAAAGAGTAATTTTGTTTTGTCTTTATTAACAATTTACGTTGAAAATGTTTAGATAACAAATAATTAATATTAATGTTATCGAAAATTTTTTGCATTCTTATGTAGTTAATACTATAACATGTGCTACTATGAAAATAACAAAACAGTTTAAAATATTCTATAAAAACTCTTTTTAAATATTCAATCTTAATAAATAGTTGTAATTAATTTAACAATTAATAATCATAATTGTTAAATTAAGAAATATTGTATATGTATTATGAAATACATAATTATGTAAATAAAGAGAATGTTAATAGTTTGATTATCAAAATCCTTAAATGTAAAATATGGAGGTGCATTTTAAATATCCAGAGTATTTTTGAAATAAATATGATTAAAGAAGGATAAATTAAGCTAGACTAGATTTAAGTATCTTAAGTTTAAAATAATAATATATCATTAATTACAAATATTTCAGGTTGTATAAGATTAAACTCCTGAAATAGTATATTAAATCTTTCAAGAAAGAATAAATAATTTTAGAATATTAGCTTTTATTTTTACAATATTCCCATCACAAACTCAAAATATCTCTAAATATTTGAAATATATTTCTCTGATTTTCTGATGAATCAATTTTTCTGTTTGCAATTTTCTCTTTCAAATATTCAAACTAATTTCTAAATGTCATCTAAATAAACAATCATTTAGAATAAAGAGTAATGGATGTAATATTTTTTCATATAGAATAACATTGAAAGTATCTGAGATTGCTTTTTAACTCAATAAACTAATGCCTTATATTATGTTTCGAACTTTTAAATTATTATTAAAGGAGTTATTATAGAAGGGTTATACATTTTTCCCTTTATGAAATTCATAATATTATTAAACTCCTTCTATTTAATACTTACTTATAAAACATTCAACTGTTTATTCTTTTAATATTATTGAAGTAGATTAAGATCTAGGTATTAAAAATATTATGTCATTCAAATATGTAAACATCTTCAAAATTTAACTTCTTAATTCTAATCCTTTACAATTTTATTTATTCCATAAAATTTACTCATTATTATCCTGATAAAGTTTTAGCAATTGTGTGTCATAAAGTATAATAATCAAAATTTAATTAATTATTACTCAGAATAATTTAAGAACTGAATTATTAATAAATTCAAATCTATCTTTCTATCAATAGTTATAGTTATAACTTTTAAAGAAGGAGTTGATATTTATTCTATATACAATCTTTTCATTTCAAGATTTCCTGAACTACTCTAAATTAATAATTATAATGAAGTTTTTTTCATTTTTCACCTAATCCTGATAATATCCATTATCAATATCAAAGATAAATAAGTAAAGATATAAATATATATGATCAAAAAAAGTAATGAACAAATGAACGAACAAAAAAATTTACAATAGAACTAGATTGGTAAGTCGAATATTCACTTTCAAAAAGCTATTCCTAAGCCAAATTCATAATCATGATATATAAATTTTTAATTATTTACTCTATTCAATATTTCTTGTCTCATATGTATATATATGTATATCAACTTATATTTCAATTCAAATAATTTTCTTCATCCCTAAATAAATAAATGTTTAAAATTTACAATATATTTTCTCCAAACATTTAATACCATATGCCAACTTTTTTTCCATTAAGATATTCACCACAATATAAGACTTATCCATACCTAATAGATATTTTTCTCAATTTTACTCATAAAATCCCTCGATTTCTTCGATCCACTTTCCAACCTTAATCGAATCATCCATATGATTATCTTTTAACTTTTCATATTGTCCTCCTCCACTTTAGCAAAACACATGAAATTTTATTTGGAGAAATATTAATAACTATTACATCAAATCATCCTTATAAAATATATTCCATCTTCCTACTTTTTTACCGTTTTCATATTCCCCTTTATAAGTGACTTCACTACTGCTAATAGCGATAATTAATCCCAATAAATTACCTCTTAAACCCATCACTCAATTCAATCCATATACCTGTCTTTAATGAAACCAAAAGATTTTAATCATTAATTTTTTCAACAAATGAACCACCACCACTAAATTAAGAAAAAAAAAAATGTTATAGTAAAATACATCAATTTAATTTTTTCAGCATCATCATCAAAATAATAAATATCCCATTACCCTACTTTAATACCATTTTAGTATTCACCATTATAAGTGATTTTGCTATCTCTAATAAACTAAATTAAATGCAATACCTCCAGAACCCTTCACTTAACTCAATCCACTTGCCTATCTTAAGTGAATCTGAAACAGTATGACCTTCTAGATATTTATCATAAGATCCTCCACCACTAAATTCAGGAATGAAGAGTTAATAAAAATAATTACATTATTTCAAAAAGTTTATTATTTCTTATTCTGTGTAATGTATCCCATCTACCAACTTTTCTCCCATTTTTATAATCACCGATAAGTAAAACTTAAGCCAAACTTAGAAAATTATTATTAATAAAAAATAGTACTCCCAAAACTTATCATTCAACTCAATCCATTTCCCAACTTTGATGGAATCTACAATTTCATCTTTGTCTTATATTTAATTATATAATCCGCAAGCACTAAATTTATTTAAAATTTTCAATTTACATTTATTTTAATTATCTCTACCCTTTCCCTTTATATAAAACATTCCACAGACCAAATTTTTTGCCGCTCTTATATTCACCTTCATAAATGACTTAACTTTAACTATTAATTAAAATTCAAAATTTCTTTTTACTTCCAAAAGTTATCACTCAGCTCTAGCCATTTACCATTCTTTTCACCTTACTCATCATATGAACCTCCACCTCTAAACAACTAATAAATTGAGAAATACATTTCACTATTTTTGTAGATATACTTCCAAATTCCGCTTCTTTAATTATTAATGTAGAGCCCCACTTCAAAAATTTGTGCTTCACTTAATTTCGATTTATAACTAAATTCTACCTCCAATAATTTTTTGATAAATCTTTCCATAAACCTTACTTCTATCCACACTGAGAGTAATATCCACCAACTTCTTAAATGGTTTAATTATTCCAGTCCGCTGTCCACCTACCTACTTTAAAAGAGTTCTGCCCGTATTTTCCAGACCACTTAAGATTATTAATCTATTCTAAATTATTAAAGATTTCAGGTTTTTAGAAAGAATCAAGTACTTAATCACTGAATATGGGGAATAAAAATACGTTCTAAGAATCTATCCATCTTTAGTGTACTTGATTTTCTTTTCTTTAGTAAATGTAATTTAGAATTTAATAGTCTTATACTTTAAGTAACTAGAATCCCAATATGTAAATTCATGTTCTAAAGTTATATTTTACCATTCATCATTTCCATTTTATATAGTCTTTTACTTTGCTCTTGTATATATATAAAATTAATTGCCCTACTTGGTTTTTATTTAGTCAGCCCTTGTTGGTTTAAACTAATCAAACAATGACATTATTTTTAAATTAAAAATTAAATATCAATTTTTCTAATGTTTAATAATTCAATTTACAATACTTTTTCGGAAATCTTTTTAATTATTAATAAATTTAGAGGAATGATAATAAATCCAAAACTAACAAATTTCATTTTATTAATTTATTTGTGTTGCTTATGTTGATTATTATAAACTAATTCATGAAACACAAGACAAAATTATGCAAAAAGTGAGCTAGAACACTTTTATTAATAGAATAAAAAAATATACAAAGTAGATTGACCTCAGAAAATAACAGATTTGATTATCAAGGTTTGAATTTCAAATTTATAACTAGATTCAAAAGTCAAATTAAACCTTATAATAATAATAATGAGTTAGTAATAATTTAAAAATTAGAAAAATATAAAGAAACTTATTAAATGACATATAATCTCATTTTAGAATATAAGCATTTTCAAACTTTTTAACAACTCCCTAGAAATTTTGAAATTATAAAGAATTCTTTAAAGAAGATTATTGATATATTTATATTATGACTTAAATCTCTAATGAATTGGCATAATCTGATTGAATCTCTACTTGACCATTACAATATTCATTCAGGAATTTAATTTCTTTCTTAAAATTCATTATCTTATTTAATAATCCATAATGTTTATTTCAAAACTAATCTCAATTTTATCTTTTAAACCTCTAAATTTCAATCGAATAAATTAATCATAGAGGGAACTTATAAATTTGTAATTAAGTATCATACTTAATTCAATTTAATAGTATTTAATTTTCAAATTTTACACTAAGTATTTAAAGGAAATAAATGAGAATACTTTCAATAAGGAAATCAAAAAGAAGGATAGATAAATAAGAATAATTGAGAATTTACTAGTTGTTAGAAAATGGTATTCCTAAATTGTAAGAGATGCCAAAAGATAGAGAAAAAATTTATCTTTTAGGATAAATAATTAGTCGATTAAGCTGCTTAGTCCTTCAATCATGTTATATTAAACCAAGAATGAAAATAAGGTTAGATTGTAAAAGGATGTGAAGAGAGCTTAGATCATAATGTCAATAATTTAATATCCAAAAGTTATTTTTAAAGTAGATTTGAGGTTCAAAAAATCATTTAATCCTTTTATACAATAGATAATTCTTTTACTTACGATGTAACATTCAAAATGATATTATAAAGATAAATTAATAATCATAACATTGAAAAGATGTTAAACTCGTCACAGTGTTTAAAGCTAACCTTATAAACTTTTAATAAAACTCTTACTTGATTTATCAACTGATTTATAAAATTTATTTGTTTGATTTACTTGAAATCTTGTTTGCTCAAATAATTCAATCAAGTATAAAGAATCAGTTCTAGAATTTGGTCATAGATTAAGCTTTATAAATAACTGTCATTTTTTAATCAAATAGTCTATAGAATTTTTCTATGGTAACTAATGAAGGAAGATATAAGTATTTTTTATAATATATCAAAATCTTATTAAATTTATGAATTAATAATGAAATGATATATTTATTAATTTATTAAAAATTAATATTATAGATTTTTCTATTAGAATTTGTATTTTTAATTTTTTGTTTTGTAAAAATCAATATAAAAATAGGTAATTAATGTCCTTTACAACACAAAGATTTAGTTTATCTATCAACTTTAAAGTAGATACGTAATTTTTGAATGGCCTAAATACTAATGATATTAAAAACAGCAAATAGGGAAATTATTAATTTTTAACATGATTTAAACTTTGAAGTAATTGAGAAAATTTTATGATTTTAATAGTTATAAATAAAAGAAAAAAACCCAATTTATTTAATTTACAAGCTAATCCAACAATGAATTAAAGCTAATACAAATTAATCTTAAGAAATCTATATAATCTAAGTGATATGAACTTTAGCACGATGCATTTCTCCTAATTTTTAGTCTGACCATTTCAATCGAAGAGTAAATTTAGGTTAATCCCCATAGCTTATATCTATCTATATGGATTAAATTAGTACATATAAAAGAAAATATTTGATATTAAAAATTTTTTTTTAAATCCATATTTTTCAAGATACTATATTTGACTTAAATTCTTTTCTTTAATTCAATTTAAATATCCTTAATCAATAACTAATTAATTTAATTAAAATTTTATAGGTTTTCATAAGCTATCTTACTGCTAAAGATGTAAATAGATTTACTCTTCGATTTACTATTGTCAGTGATTTAATTATTATAAACCTTCATTTTGTAATTGAATTTTTTGCCTATTCTTTATTTAAACATATTTATTAATTTTTTATAAAATCAGTTTTTAGGCAAATATTCATGTTTATATCAAGAATAATCATTTTATCAAGAAAGCCAATAATTCTATCAAATAATAGTTAAATAAAATTAAAAATCATTAAAATTCTAAGTGATAAACTTCAATCTATTATATAAATCTTAAGTTTAAATAATTAAAAATAGTTCATTAAATTTCACAATCAGTTAAATGAAAAGGAGGAATTGAAACAATTCCTCCTTTTTTGTTCTAAATTTGCTTTTCTGATTGCTGAATTAATTTATATTGATGCTTTACTATTCTTCTACAGAGAATCTAAAATCAAAACCCTTAATCTCTATTCATTGATTTCTCTTTTGTAACTAAATCTATCATAATGAGCAAAGTATTCAACTCTTACTGTTATTAGAAATTAATCAATCAATTAAACCAAACTTAAATTTTTTTTTCTAATTAATCATATGATCTAGGGCTTATCAATATATCAAAACTTTTCTACCTAATGCTATCTTTAAATTAGAGTAAAACTATTATCAACTATTTTTGATTCTCTTCTAATATAAGATCTTTATTGATTTATAACATTCATATTAATTCTAAACAATTATTTATAAATAGCAATATAAGGATTATAATAAAACCTTATATTAATGAATCCATAATTATGTTGGATTTTGTAAATAAAATAAAGAATTTTATCTAAAATAAATTAATCTATCTGTTTCAATTTAAAATAGTCCTCTAATTTAATAAAAATTAGATTTTATGAAGCTTTTATTTGAAGTAGTTAAGCTACCTATTAATACGGTTTAATCATTTTCTTTAATCAATTTTTAATTTAAAACTTCAATTATTTTTTCAACTAATTTGAAAATATTTAAATTATATCTGTTATTTCAGTTATTTTTCGATTTTTCTCCTTAAACAAAAACCAAATCTATTTCTATATTCCTGTAATCATTCACTCTAGAATGAAAAAATGAATTATGCTTTAGAAAATTTTAAAGGATAATGAAATGTTTGATGTTGAGAATCATCTGTAAACTAATAGTTAGTTTGATTTTTTTAAATGATAATATATAGTTTCTTAAAATTTATATAAATATATATCTATTTTATAAATTAAAATAATCTTTTATTATAAAAATAAGAATACTAAAATCAATATTAAAGTAAAAATACAATTAATTAGCTTTTAAATGAAATGCTCTATTTCCAATCATTCTGAATTTATTTCATTTGCTTGCCTTGATGAATTCTGCACTTAATTTAGATTAGGCTGCGTCTAATGCATTACAAATAACATATAAATAATTTGAAATAAATCCCTGATCTACTTAGTTTTTTATCAGAAAAATCAAAGCAATGCAATAAATTTATTAATCAACTGAATATTCTAAATGAAAAAATTAATGAGATATTTGACTATTTAAATCAGATGATGGGAATAGATTTCTCAATCACAGGTGAAACATTAAAACAGATAAACTCCCAATCTATGAATAATATCATTGCTTAGCTAATTAAATTTAATAGTGAATGCCAACCATTTATTTAATTGGCATCTCAAAACACAGAAACATTAATTAAATGCTTTTCCCAATTTTTTTTAATCATAAGAAATTCTTTAAGATCCTCTAGAATAAAATGACTAAATTACTACAAATAATACAAATTCAGAAATATAATTATTTAAATATCAAGTTATCAACTCTATCAAAGAAAACGATTATTTTTTTTCAGTCTGTTTTAATCAAGATTCTAGTATTATGATTACTGGATATATGGATGGTATAATAAAAATATTTCAATTTAATTATGGAAATATTAAAATTTTATAAAGACTCAATGAACATAAGGGTATAGTAGGATGTTTAAATTATATGAATTAGTCAAATTCATTTATATCTGGTAGTTTAGATAATAGTGTTATAATTTAGAAGATTGATGAAAATAATAAATGATATGCATAATAAAAATTAACAGAATACGATAATTGGGTTCGTTGTATATTGATTAATTAATATGATGATTATCTGGAAGCAGAGACAAAAGCATTAAGTTTTGGAGAAAAGATAATTTATGGTAATGTTCATAAACATTAAATCACCATAATAGTGATATAATGAGTATAAGCTTAAATGAATCTTAGAATTATTTAATTTCTTGTGCTTAAGATGATAATGAAATATTAATAAGTTAATAATAAGAAAATAAAGAATGGATTATTATATAAAAAAATTAATTAAGAAGGTGAAAGATTATGTTTTATTAGTGATAGCTTGTTTATTGTCTAACCATATCTGTCTTCTAAAATGAATATCTATGAGTTGAATCATTAAACTAAATTATTTAACCAAATCAACGAACTTTAAATTAAAAATGGGAGTAGTTGTCATTGTTTTTTTGAATCATAATACATTAAATAAAAGTAAATTTTAGTCTGTAAGAATGGATTTAATATCAATTTAATAAAGATAAACTAATAAGCTGAATTTAAATTAATTTAATTTATTGATCTTGGAACAGGAAATTCTTTTGGCAGATTAACAGCAGATGGATAGTTTATGGTAATATGGGATGATAAAACTTAATAAATTTAGATATTTTTATTTAAAGAAATTAAAAAATGATAAATCTAATATTAAGAAATATATATTAATAATTTCATTTTTAAATAGTTTATTTTTTTTTATAATATCATAATGATTAAAATATCATATTGTTTTGATGTATCATAGATTTTAAATTAAAAAATCAATCATTAAAATAGAGTTTGGAGATTGATTTACAAAATATCTATTTACAAACACAAAAATAGAATATGTATTCAAAAATGATAGAAGAAGATATCAAAGAATTAAGATAAATAAAGTAATTTTATATAAATTTTTTTCCAAAAAGAATTCATTTTATTAAGTTTATTTATAAAAGTATAAGACTTATCTAAATTATATTAATTTCAATAAATTTTAATGCTACTATTTTTGATGAAAAATAATTAATGATGATTCAATATACAATCTAATATATCATATGAAGAATTAAATCAAATAGATAATATATTGATGACCATCATTTTCATAACCTTGCTAATTAATACAGAATTTATTCCTAATCAGAAGAGAGGTTTCCTATTCGTAATGCTTCAAAATAATATTATTTTGCTTCATTTTTTCTTCCCAAAACTAGTAATGTATCAGCTTTATATAAAAATTAAATAATAATACCTTTGCGTTTTAATCTATTTGAATTTTTTTTCAAAAATATTGCTTAATCATAAATTTTTAAGGCTTCATTAAACCTTTATAACAAATGTAGAGAAAGAGCTAAATAAAAATTAGTAATTTCCAACCTTTGTTTTCTAAAGCTTCGTCATTGTTTTTGTTTAGATCAATTGCAGTGTTAAAAGATTAAAGAGCATCTTCAATTCTATTAAGTTTGAGTAATGTAGTTCCTATATAATATTATGCTTTTATATATGCCTCTATTATGGTGTGCTTTATCATTGTGATTGTTGAATTCTATTGCCATCTCATATGCAATAAGGGCTTCCTAGAATCTTTGTAAATTACATAGTGCAAAACCTTTTTTTATAAAAAAAAATACCTTTATTAGAATATGCTAAATAATTAATTGGATTTAAATCTATTGCTGTTTATATATATAAAAGAGCTTCTTCATATTTGCCTAAATTATTTAATAAAGCTCCTGTAAAATGATTATGAGTAATATTAGCTACCTTTATTATTGTAAGCACTCTCATAAGTTGAATTTATTTATAAGGCTAAGTCAAAACATTTTATGGCCTCATCATATTTATTTAGATGATTTAATGTAATTGCTTTGAAGTTGATAATTATGTGAATTACCTTTCCAGTTATAGACAAAATCATGATTATAACCCATCAATAATGAATCATTAAAGGCTGTTAAGGCTTCTTGATATTTTCTTTCTCTAAATAATTTTTCTCCTAAAAATACAATAAGTGAATATTTAATACCTTAATCAAATCTACCTTTTGCTCTACTCAAATATTATGAATGATTATCTCCTGTCTAAGCAATTTGCTAATCTTCTATTTTAACATATCCCTTTGTAGTGGTTTTAAGAGTTAAGACAATAGAATTTAATGATGTTAAGAATTCACCTAAATTAATTATATAATAACACTTTTTTCAGTCTCCTCGACCTTAGAATAATACCCTCTAAAGAAGTTTATTTCAGTTTTAAATTTTAGATACTCTCTTTTTTATAATGTTTCATTCAAATTTTACAATTTTTTGAGATTTTTCTAAATTTTCTTTAGTGATTAACTCAACAACATTTGGAAGGTTTTATCAATTTCTTGTAATTATTCATAAAATAATTTTTCTTATTGAATATACTTTGAGAGATTTTCTGTTATCATATCAAAACCAAGACATTAAGAACTATGATTATTTTATTGATCTTTTAGACATTTCAAACAAAATTGAGGATGTTATTGGCAATCAATATTAACACAAAATCCTAAAATAGCTTAACCCAAATGACTTTCATATCGACAATGAAACTCTGCCATTTTGGTTTCAATTTTATTATTATTAATTATCATTAAAAAATACATAATTGATAAAGTGTTTGCTAAATAATATATAATTCAATTATTTATTAGTTTTAATATAGAAAAATGCATATTCTATACTATTGCAAAATAAAATAAGACACTATTCTAATATTTTGATATCTATTTAATTATAACTTCTTTTTATTACATGTTTCATTAATTCATTAGATCATGATTTAATTAATTCATTTGATCATGATTTCAATCATATATTAGAAGCAGTTAAGTATTGAAAATATAGATTATGATAATAATAAAAATATGATAATAATGAATTGAAATCCTAATATAAACCCAGAAAAATAAAATCTAGAGTTCTTTAATTTTTTACATTTAAATAGAGTGATGGTGTTGAGGCAATAATAATATTAAATATCTATATGTAACTTATGATTTCTTTTATGTATAAACAATAAAATATATTAAGGTATTAAAATAGAGTTTGGAGATTGATTTACAAAATATCTATTTACAAACACAAAAATAGAATATGTATTCAAAAATGATAGAAGAAGATATCAAAGAATTAAGATAAATAAAGTAATTTTATATAAATTTTTTTCCAAAAAGAATTCATTTTATTAAGTTTATTTATAAAAGTATAAGACTTATCTAAATTATATTAATTTCAATAAATTTTAATGCTACTATTTTTGATGAAAAATAATTAATGATGATTCAATATACAATCTAATATATCATATGAAGAATTAAATCAAATAGATAATATATTGATGACCATCATTTTCATAACCTTGCTAATTAATACAGAATTTATTCCTAATCAGAAGAGAGGTTTCCTATTCGTAATGCTTCAAAATAATATTATTTTGCTTCATTTTTTCTTCCCAAAACTAGTAATGTATCAGCTTTATATAAAAATTAAATAATAATACCTTTGCGTTTTAATCTATTTGAATTTTTTTTCAAAAATATTGCTTAATCATAAATTTTTAAGGCTTCATTAAACCTTTATAACAAATGTAGAGAAAGAGCTAAATAAAAATTAGTAATTTCCAACCTTTGTTTTCTAAAGCTTCGTCATTGTTTTTGTTTAGATCAATTGCAGTGTTAAAAGATTAAAGAGCATCTTCAATTCTATTAAGTTTGAGTAATGTAGTTCCTATATAATATTATGCTTTTATATATGCCTCTATTATGGTGTGCTTTATCATTGTGATTGTTGAATTCTATTGCCATCTCATATGCAATAAGGGCTTCCTAGAATCTTTGTAAATTACATAGTGCAAAACCTTTTTTTATAAAAAAAAATACCTTTATTAGAATATGCTAAATAATTAATTGGATTTAAATCTATTGCTGTTTATATATATAAAAGAGCTTCTTCATATTTGCCTAAATTATTTAATAAAGCTCCTGTAAAATGATTATGAGTAATATTAGCTACCTTTATTATTGTAAGCACTCTCATAAGTTGAATTTATTTATAAGGCTAAGTCAAAACATTTTATGGCCTCATCATATTTATTTAGATGATTTAATGTAATTGCTTTGAAGTTGATAATTATGTGAATTACCTTTCCAGTTATAGACAAAATCATGATTATAACCCATCAATAATGAATCATTAAAGGCTGTTAAGGCTTCTTGATATTTTCTTTCTCTAAATAATTTTTCTCCTAAAAATACAATAAGTGAATATTTAATACCTTAATCAAATCTACCTTTTGCTCTACTCAAATATTATGAATGATTATCTCCTGTCTAAGCAATTTGCTAATCTTCTATTTTAACATATCCCTTTGTAGTGGTTTTAAGAGTTAAGACAATAGAATTTAATGATGTTAAGAATTCACCTAAATTAATTATATAATAACACTTTTTTCAGTCTCCTCGACCTTAGAATAATACCCTCTAAAGAAGTTTATTTCAGTTTTAAATTTTAGATACTCTCTTTTTTATAATGTTTCATTCAAATTTTACAATTTTTTGAGATTTTTCTAAATTTTCTTTAGTGATTAACTCAACAACATTTGGAAGGTTTTATCAATTTCTTGTAATTATTCATAAAATAATTTTTCTTATTGAATATACTTTGAGAGATTTTCTGTTATCATATCAAAACCAAGACATTAAGAACTATGATTATTTTATTGATCTTTTAGACATTTCAAACAAAATTGAGGATGTTATTGGCAATCAATATTAACACAAAATCCTAAAATAGCTTAACCCAAATGACTTTCATATCGACAATGAAACTCTGCCATTTTGGTTTCAATTTTATTATTATTAATTATCATTAAAAAATACATAATTGATAAAGTGTTTGCTAAATAATATATAATTCAATTATTTATTAGTTTTAATATAGAAAAATGCATATTCTATACTATTGCAAAATAAAATAAGACACTATTCTAATATTTTGATATCTATTTAATTATAACTTCTTTTTATTACATGTTTCATTAATTCATTAGATCATGATTTAATTAATTCATTTGATCATGATTTCAATCATATATTAGAAGCAGTTAAGTATTGAAAATATAGATTATGATAATAATAAAAATATGATAATAATGAATTGAAATCCTAATATAAACCCAGAAAAATAAAATCTAGAGTTCTTTAATTTTTTACATTTAAATAGAGTGATGGTGTTGAGGCAATAATAATATTAAATATCTATATGTAACTTATGATTTCTTTTATGTATAAACAATAAAATATATTAAGGTATAAAAAGAGATATTGACAAAATGTGTTTTCAAAAAGGATTAATAAGAAATTTATTGATATAAGTATTATTATCATTATACAAAAATCAGAAAAATTATTCTCATTTATTCTCTTAATTTTGTTATACTAAAATTTGGAAGTTAAAAACATTCAGAAATTGAAATCATTATAATACTTGAATTAATTAGCAGAANGACCATCATTTTCATAACCTTGCTAATTAATACAGAATTTATTCCTAATCAGAAGAGAGGTTTCCTATTCGTAATGCTTCAAAATAATATTATTTTGCTTCATTTTTTCTTCCCAAAACTAGTAATGTATCAGCTTTATATAAAAATTAAATAATAATACCTTTGCGTTTTAATCTATTTGAATTTTTTTTCAAAAATATTGCTTAATCATAAATTTTTAAGGCTTCATTAAACCTTTATAACAAATGTAGAGAAAGAGCTAAATAAAAATTAGTAATTTCCAACCTTTGTTTTCTAAAGCTTCGTCATTGTTTTTGTTTAGATCAATTGCAGTGTTAAAAGATTAAAGAGCATCTTCAATTCTATTAAGTTTGAGTAATGTAGTTCCTATATAATATTATGCTTTTATATATGCCTCTATTATGGTGTGCTTTATCATTGTGATTGTTGAATTCTATTGCCATCTCATATGCAATAAGGGCTTCCTAGAATCTTTGTAAATTACATAGTGCAAAACCTTTTTTTATAAAAAAAAATACCTTTATTAGAATATGCTAAATAATTAATTGGATTTAAATCTATTGCTGTTTATATATATAAAAGAGCTTCTTCATATTTGCCTAAATTATTTAATAAAGCTCCTGTAAAATGATTATGAGTAATATTAGCTACCTTTATTATTGTAAGCACTCTCATAAGTTGAATTTATTTATAAGGCTAAGTCAAAACATTTTATGGCCTCATCATATTTATTTAGATGATTTAATGTAATTGCTTTGAAGTTGATAATTATGTGAATTACCTTTCCAGTTATAGACAAAATCATGATTATAACCCATCAATAATGAATCATTAAAGGCTGTTAAGGCTTCTTGATATTTTCTTTCTCTAAATAATTTTTCTCCTAAAAATACAATAAGTGAATATTTAATACCTTAATCAAATCTACCTTTTGCTCTACTCAAATATTATGAATGATTATCTCCTGTCTAAGCAATTTGCTAATCTTCTATTTTAACATATCCCTTTGTAGTGGTTTTAAGAGTTAAGACAATAGAATTTAATGATGTTAAGAATTCACCTAAATTAATTATATAATAACACTTTTTTCAGTCTCCTCGACCTTAGAATAATACCCTCTAAAGAAGTTTATTTCAGTTTTAAATTTTAGATACTCTCTTTTTTATAATGTTTCATTCAAATTTTACAATTTTTTGAGATTTTTCTAAATTTTCTTTAGTGATTAACTCAACAACATTTGGAAGGTTTTATCAATTTCTTGTAATTATTCATAAAATAATTTTTCTTATTGAATATACTTTGAGAGATTTTCTGTTATCATATCAAAACCAAGACATTAAGAACTATGATTATTTTATTGATCTTTTAGACATTTCAAACAAAATTGAGGATGTTATTGGCAATCAATATTAACACAAAATCCTAAAATAGCTTAACCCAAATGACTTTCATATCGACAATGAAACTCTGCCATTTTGGTTTCAATTTTATTATTATTAATTATCATTAAAAAATACATAATTGATAAAGTGTTTGCTAAATAATATATAATTCAATTATTTATTAGTTTTAATATAGAAAAATGCATATTCTATACTATTGCAAAATAAAATAAGACACTATTCTAATATTTTGATATCTATTTAATTATAACTTCTTTTTATTACATGTTTCATTAATTCATTAGATCATGATTTAATTAATTCATTTGATCATGATTTCAATCATATATTAGAAGCAGTTAAGTATTGAAAATATAGATTATGATAATAATAAAAATATGATAATAATGAATTGAAATCCTAATATAAACCCAGAAAAATAAAATCTAGAGTTCTTTAATTTTTTACATTTAAATAGAGTGATGGTGTTGAGGCAATAATAATATTAAATATCTATATGTAACTTATGATTTCTTTTATGTATAAACAATAAAATATATTAAGGTATAAAAAGAGATATTGACAAAATGTGTTTTCAAAAAGGATTAATAAGAAATTTATTGATATAAGTATTATTATCATTATACAAAAATCAGAAAAATTATTCTCATTTATTCTCTTAATTTTGTTATACTAAAATTTGGAAGTTAAAAACATTCAGAAATTGAAATCATTATAATACTTGAATTAATTAGCAGAAATAATATAAATGAAAACTATCAATTTATTAATGAAATCTCATTTTAAAATCTTTCTGCTTGTTCTTTATTAATTTAATTGAGGAAGATTTTTAGTTTATGAGTAGTTAATAATTTTTCCAATTGTTTTCCTGAATAATTGGGAAATTATATTCAGTGAAAAATTGATATAATAAGAATATTGAAGTAAAAGTGTAATAAAATAAACATATATTTTATTTTAATATAGATTGATTTGTCGGATGGGGAATTTTAATTTCAAATTATAGTTCTAATTTAACAACTAAAATATTAATTAATTGAATATTCTGATATACTTTAAATGTAGTTCTATACTTAAAAATAAAAAAAGGTCAGTTAATAATAATATACATTTATCAATTTCCTCGAATAATTAAAAGAACTAAATTTAAATTTAATATGGCGAGGATTCCATTTTAGGAAATATATAAAAACTAAACCCTTAATTAATTACAATTTTTCAAATAAGATAATCCTCTTTTCTTGTAAGTTTTAAAAAAATGAAAAAATTATGCTTATTTCATATATTATATTTGGATTGATTTACAATTAATATTATAAATGGCTGATTTTAGATGTAAAAGTTTCAGAATCAGAGCAATACCAGTATTGTGTTGAATTAGAGGAAGAATGATCATTAAAAAATTACTTTTAAATAGTAATTATAATGTAGCAATCCATTATATTAATCTTCTATTAGATATCATGTTTGATTTTAGAGTAGTTTTCCAATTAGAATTAGATGTTTTAATCAAATAATAAGTACTCAATTACTGTTGGTTGCCTTTATTCTTAGCTTAGAAACATATAGTATGCTATTTATATATGACAATATGAATCTAAAAAGAAGAAATTTAATCTCAATTTACATTTCACAAGAAGGAAAATATAAATACAATTGAGGAAGTTTATTATTAAATATTTTTGTGCTTGAGTGTATGATGATGATCACAATATCATCATATATGAAAACTAATAAGTAGAATATAGTTAAAATATAAATTAGGATTCATAATTGCAAGAATTTTCATGTCAATATTTCCTTAGAGGTTTACTAAGTAACAATTAGAAGAAATTATAATATTAGTGTTAATTAGTGAAATTATATTTCATTCCATTGTATATTATTATAAAAAATATAGGTTCACCCCGTTATTTTGATTATTAAACAAGAACATTGTTCTTTAATTATTTTAATATAATAACTAGATATTTTGATGTATCTTCAGGCTTCTCAATACCATGTTCTTTCAAAAATAGGGTGTGGCTCTGATCATGTGATATATAAAGTTGAGAATAGGTTAAATTCAGAAGAGTGTGCTATAAAAATTGAAAAATCTCCTGGAATAGGCTAGATCCAAAATGAAATTGGGATGCTTAATAAATTAAAAGGTATTTCAGGTATCCCAGTATTAATATCATATGGAGTTACCCCAGAGAATAAGTAATTTATTAAATATAATAAATTAAGATCTTTTCTTATTATTCCATTACTACATGGTAACTTAGGTGAAATAGCCAAAAAGAAATAATTATCTTTAACTTAAATATTAAGGATTGGATTAAGGATTACTGAAATTTTAGAAAAAGTTCATTATTAAAATATACTTCATCTAGACATCAAACCAGAAAACATTATGATATCATAACCTTTAGTAAATGATTCAAAAATATTACATCCTGATCTTATTTAACTTATTGATTTTGGATTATCATAAGAATTAATTAGAAATTCAAAATTATTGAAAGATGTATTTATTGGCTCATTAAATTTTGCCAGCAGATAATCTCATAAAGGAGAATAACTAGGCTATAAGGATGATTTAGAGAGTCTCTTGTATGTTTTGGTTTACTTAAGAAATTGTATGTATATTCTTTACCCTTAGTAACATTGCCATGGTTCCAAAAACCATCTTGGGGTTATAGAGAAGTAGATATCAAAGTAATTGGCAGGATCAAATAATTTCATTTTAAAACTGTTTCCTAAACTTAGAATTTCCCTTTATAGTTTTAAGAGATAATGTCTTACATAGACACATTAAAGTATGACATAATGCCAGATTATGGTTATATTAAAAGCTTATTTATGGAAATGATAAAAAAACCCTAGTGTTCTATTATTCTAAATACACTAAGTATTCTAATCTTCGAATGAAATAGAAACNGGATTAATAAGAAATTTATTGATATAAGTATTATTATCATTATACAAAAATCAGAAAAATTATTCTCATTTATTCTCTTAATTTTGTTATACTAAAATTTGGAAGTTAAAAACATTCAGAAATTGAAATCATTATAATACTTGAATTAATTAGCAGAAATAATATAAATGAAAACTATCAATTTATTAATGAAATCTCATTTTAAAATCTTTCTGCTTGTTCTTTATTAATTTAATTGAGGAAGATTTTTAGTTTATGAGTAGTTAATAATTTTTCCAATTGTTTTCCTGAATAATTGGGAAATTATATTCAGTGAAAAATTGATATAATAAGAATATTGAAGTAAAAGTGTAATAAAATAAACATATATTTTATTTTAATATAGATTGATTTGTCGGATGGGGAATTTTAATTTCAAATTATAGTTCTAATTTAACAACTAAAATATTAATTAATTGAATATTCTGATATACTTTAAATGTAGTTCTATACTTAAAAATAAAAAAAGGTCAGTTAATAATAATATACATTTATCAATTTCCTCGAATAATTAAAAGAACTAAATTTAAATTTAATATGGCGAGGATTCCATTTTAGGAAATATATAAAAACTAAACCCTTAATTAATTACAATTTTTCAAATAAGATAATCCTCTTTTCTTGTAAGTTTTAAAAAAATGAAAAAATTATGCTTATTTCATATATTATATTTGGATTGATTTACAATTAATATTATAAATGGCTGATTTTAGATGTAAAAGTTTCAGAATCAGAGCAATACCAGTATTGTGTTGAATTAGAGGAAGGATGATCATTAAAAAATTACTTTTAAATATTAATTATAATGTAGCAATCCATTATATTAATCTTCTATTAGATATCATGTTTGATTTTAGAGTAGTTTTCCAATTAGAATTAGATGTTTTAATCAAATAATAAGTACTCAATTACTGTTGGTTGCCTTTATTCTTAGCTTAGAAACATATAGTATGCTATTTATATATGACAATATGAATCTAAAAAGAAGAAATTTAATCTCAATTTACATTTCACAAGAAGGAAAATATAAATACAATTGAGGAAGTTTATTATTAAATATTTTTGTGCTTGAGTGTATGATGATGATCACAATATCATCATATATGAAAACTAATAAGTAGAATATAGTTAAAATATAAATTAGGATTCATAATTGCAAGAATTTTCATGTCAATATTTCCTTAGAGGTTTACTAAGTAACAATTAGAAGAAATTATAATATTAGTGTTAATTAGTGAAATTATATTTCATTCCATTGTATATTATTATAAAAAATATAGGTTCACCCCGTTATTTTGATTATTAAACAAGAACATTGTTCTTTAATTATTTTAATATAATAACTAGATATTTTGATGTATCTTCAGGCTTCTCAATACCATGTTCTTTCAAAAATAGGGTGTGGCTCTGATCATGTGATATATAAAGTTGAGAATAGGTTAAATTCAGAAGAGTGTGCTATAAAAATTGAAAAATCTCCTGGAATAGGCTAGATCCAAAATGAAATTGGGATGCTTAATAAATTAAAAGGTATTTCAGGTATCCCAGTATTAATATCATATGGAGTTACCCCAGAGAATAAGTAATTTATTAAATATAATAAATTAAGATCTTTTCTTATTATTCCATTACTACATGGTAACTTAGGTGAAATAGCCAAAAAGAAATAATTATCTTTAACTTAAATATTAAGGATTGGATTAAGGATTACTGAAATTTTAGAAAAAGTTCATTATTAAAATATACTTCATCTAGACATCAAACCAGAAAACATTATGATATCATAACCTTTAGTAAATGATTCAAAAATATTACATCCTGATCTTATTTAACTTATTGATTTTGGATTATCATAAGAATTAATTAGAAATTCAAAATTATTGAAAGATGTATTTATTGGCTCATTAAATTTTGCCAGCAGATAATCTCATAAAGGAGAATAACTAGGCTATAAGGATGATTTAGAGAGTCTCTTGTATGTTTTGGTTTACTTAAGAAATTGTATGTATATTCTTTACCCTTAGTAACATTGCCATGGTTCCAAAAACCATCTTGGGGTTATAGAGAAGTAGATATCAAAGTAATTGGCAGGATCAAATAATTTCATTTTAAAACTGTTTCCTAAACTTAGAATTTCCCTTTATAGTTTTAAGAGATAATGTCTTACATAGACACATTAAAGTATGACATAATGCCAGATTATGGTTATATTAAAAGCTTATTTATGGAAATGATAAAAAAACCCTAGTGTTCTATTATTCTAAATACACTAAGTATTCTAATCTTCGAATGAAATAGAAACTTCAATTTTAATAGAAAATTCTGCTGAGAACAATAAAGACAATAAATCTTGTGATTAAAATATGGAGGATATGTTGAGTTTTGAGACAAAACATGTTCAAATTTCAAAAATAATTGGTAAATATGTGACTAATTCAATTAAATCAATAAGTGATATTAAATCTTGAGATTATTATTATTCTATAATCAAAGAAAAATTTTCAATTCATATTTATGTCATAATATATATATATATAAACATAATTTAAAATTTATTTTGAAACTCAAATAGTTATATAAATATTTAATATTTTTAAATCAATTGAATATATTCTCTTATGCTTAAAAATAGAATTGAAGTAATTTTAATTATGAAACATAAATAAAATGACACTGTACTTAATTTAATATGTTTATCAAGTACATCACCAGAAAGATTTTTGAAAAAAATATTATTTAGACATATTATTATTAATCACAATAATATTGAAGAATACATATTCTTTAAAGATTCACTATAAATAAGTATTGTAGTTTAAATTATGATAAATCTATAATTATTATTAAATCATTAATCGACTTTTTATTTAATTCAATTCTAATTTAATTAATATAAACACTTGAAGATATTTGTTTAACTAAATCTATATGCAAATAATTATGTTAAATTTTAGTTATTTTTAATTAAAGAATTTATCATTAAAAATCAATATAAATCATATAATTGTAATTATTCATGTTTCCTAGTTGGCACCATAATATTTAAATAAATGTTGTAAATTATTGAATTCTGTAGTTATTTAAGAATTATTTATTTAACAATTAATTGCTTGAATTTCGTATTTTTTAGGTATTGTTTTCAATCTATATANACCTTTAGTAAATGATTCAAAAATATTACATCCTGATCTTATTTAACTTATTGATTTTGGATTATCATAAGAATTAATTAGAAATTCAAAATTATTGAAAGATGTATTTATTGGCTCATTAAATTTTGCCAGCAGATAATCTCATAAAGGAGAATAACTAGGCTATAAGGATGATTTAGAGAGTCTCTTGTATGTTTTGGTTTACTTAAGAAATTGTATGTATATTCTTTACCCTTAGTAACATTGCCATGGTTCCAAAAACCATCTTGGGGTTATAGAGAAGTAGATATCAAAGTAATTGGCAGGATCAAATAATTTCATTTTAAAACTGTTTCCTAAACTTAGAATTTCCCTTTATAGTTTTAAGAGATAATGTCTTACATAGACACATTAAAGTATGACATAATGCCAGATTATGGTTATATTAAAAGCTTATTTATGGAAATGATAAAAAAACCCTAGTGTTCTATATTCTAAATACACTAAGTATTCTAATCTTCGAATGAAATAGAAACTTCAATTTTAATAGAAAATTCTGCTGAGAACAATAAAGACAATAAATCTTGTGATTAAAATATGGAGGATATGTTGAGTTTTGAGACAAAACATGTTCAAATTTCAAAAATAATTGGTAAATATGTGACTAATTCAATTAAATCAATAAGTGATATTAAATCTTGAGATTATTATTATTCTATAATCAAAGAAAAATTTTCAATTCATATTTATGTCATAATATATATATATATAAACATAATTTAAAATTTATTTTGAAACTCAAATAGTTATATAAATATTTAATATTTTTAAATCAATTGAATATATTCTCTTATGCTTAAAAATAGAATTGAAGTAATTTTAATTATGAAACATAAATAAAATGACACTGTACTTAATTTAATATGTTTATCAAGTACATCACCAGAAAGATTTTTGAAAAAAATATTATTTAGACATATTATTATTAATCACAATAATATTGAAGAATACATATTCTTTAAAGATTCACTATAAATAAGTATTGTAGTTTAAATTATGATAAATCTATAATTATTATTAAATCATTAATCGACTTTTTATTTAATTCAATTCTAATTTAATTAATATAAACACTTGAAGATATTTGTTTAACTAAATCTATATGCAAATAATTATGTTAAATTTTAGTTATTTTTAATTAAAGAATTTATCATTAAAAATCAATATAAATCATATAATTGTAATTATTCATGTTTCCTAGTTGGCACCATAATATTTAAATAAATGTTGTAAATTATTGAATTCTGTAGTTATTTAAGAATTATTTATTTAACAATTAATTGCTTGAATTTCGTATTTTTTAGGTATTGTTTTCAATCTATATAGAAAACTCAAGGTCTATATATATAAAATTTTTATAATACATTATTGGTGTCTTTTTATTATGATAACAATGAAATAGTAAAATTATAAAAAAATACTTATCCACCTTTTGATAAGATGATAAAGTCATTTTCATTTGATGAAAAACAAACACTTGATATATCTATGGTCAAATTTATAAAATAAACACCTTAATATTGTTAATCTTTTTGTTAAAACAATGTAATTTTATAATCCTATTCTTAAACTAATAAGTATTTTCCATTATGTGAAAAGAATACATACATAATTGATACTAAACTCTCTATTTGTTGAACTTATTTAAGATCATCTAAATTAGATATATCAATTATTTTAACAATTCCTTAATTTTTTTGCACTTCTCCAATTTCACTTCCATTTTTACCTCCACATGCAATCATATTATCATAAAATGATACTGAACTAATATCAAATTCTAGAATTTCATTATTATATTCAACAGTCTCTAAATTTTTGGATATTATGAATTTATTTTTGGTTTCACAGAATCCAAATAATATTTAATCATATTTAAATTGAAATGACTTTATTTAAGACCAATTATATTGTGATTTTAGAGGTCTTATTTTTGTTGGAAAATTAGTATTATAAATTTTCTTAAATTCGATAGTCTATCTACCAGGATAAACTAGAAAATTGCCATCAGGACTAAAAGTGACAGGTAATCCATAAGTAAGCTGAAAATAATCTAATATTGTTGGTTATTCTTAATCTTGAAATTTGAATAAAAAAAAATGATTAATGAAATATTATTCTTCCCTCACTGCAAGAAATAAATCACTCTTTGGGGAGAATAGTAAATAACTAAACTGATTTTAAAATCCTATTTAGATTTATTTTGGGTCAACATCTTGATTAATTGGATTAAATTTAAGGATATTAGTTTGATTTTCAATATCATAGTCAAGAGTTATGATTGATGATGAATTATTATCAAAATTAAATCTCTGCCAAGAAAAAATTAAGAATGATTAAACTACAGTTTTATTTTACCTATTCCAAATTATTATCCTTGGATTTATTTCTATTAAATTATTTTATAAAACATTTAAAAATCCTTAATTATTTAATGCAAAATATGAGGCTGCAATAAATTTTCCATTTGGTGAAAAGGAAACTTATAAACATTCCTGATCTTTACACTCATCTGCAAAAAGTTAACTCTTTTCATAAACTTCAAACTATAAGTTTATATTCATAGATTATTGAAGTTATTGATTTTGAGTCTCTAGTAGATTTACATAACTCGAATATAAAATTGACCATAATATAATTTGATCACCTTCATTGGATGCTAAGATTTATTCGGTATTCGGAATCCAAGTACAAATATGTTAACTATCTAATAAATTTGGATTATATTTTATTGGTAATTTTATTGAATTAGCACCTGATTCTTTTACAAACCAAATTCTTATATAATGATCTTAACTTCTTGATGCAAGTAATTACCCATTTCCAGAATATTCAATTTATATAATTTTATTATTATGACCTCTTAATTCCCTATTTATATTCCATTAGTCTCTATCAGATATTTTAATAACATTATTTTATCTATCCCCAACAAAAGCAAAATTAAGATCAGTTGGAGAAACAGCTATGCAGATTATGTTATCAAATTCTGAATTGATATTAATCATGTTTTGTTAATCTAAAATAAATTTCAATTCCCAAATTTTTAGTAATTCTCCATCATTTGATATGACTGCTAAAGTTTCTAGATTATTATTGTTTGAAAAAAAAAATTTTTTGATTGAATATATGTCTATAATTTTTGCTTTTTGTTATAATTCATAAATATTAGAACTATCCCAAAGAATAATACCATCCTTAAAGGATTATGTAACTAAATAATTACCATTTTGAGAAAAACTATATAGACTTTATTCATCTAAAATATTAATTAATTCATCACTCCAACAATCCCAAAATATTATTTTAGATTAAAGTTACAAAATTATTAATTAACCATTAGGTGAGAATTCTGCTTTTAATACCTCACTATCAAAAATTTTATAATATTAATTTGGATTTATTTAATTCATATTCCATAATATAATTGTTTTTTTTGTATCTGTCCATTAGGCTATAACATTATTTTAAGGATTTAAACAAAAATTATTTATGTTTTAGAAGCCTTTAAAAATCCTTTTAAAACACTTATCTTTAATACACCATAGAGCTAAATCATCATTAAATTATAAACCAATTTGTTGATTTGAATTGAGGGTAAGAATTTACAAAATCTAATTTTAAAATTATATCTTCAAAGTTTCATTGAAATTATCATCTTTCCATTCATAGAAACTGACTTCATCTTTAATAGCTACTGCTAAGGATTTTCCATCAGATGAGACAATAAATTAAGTAGCTGTAATCTATTTTATTTACTCTAATTTTTCACTTAATAATTCATATAATGTCAAAGTATTTTGACCTTTAAATAGAAAATAACTATTAGTAGAATCAATTGCTATTTGATTTAATTAATAAAAAAGTTGGGGTGAATTTTCGATTATCTTTTCCACTCCAACATATTTAGGTTAAAGAGGTTGCCTTAAATCATTGTCCCAATATCTTAACCATCCATAGGTGTCAATAAAACCCATAATCTTTCTATCAGGGGAAAACTATAAAGGGCCTGCAGGTGGAAAATCTATTAATTATTAAAAAAGAATATTGTTTAAATTTGAAAATTCCCTCAAAACAACCTCATTTTGAGAACAAGTTGCTATGTAATAATTAGATGATTATTTATTGGATATTGCAAAAGAAAGAAAATGGTTATTTTTATCTAGATTTTCAATTTTTTCAATAAGATCAAAGCTCTTAAAATCCCAAATTTTCAACCAAAAAGCACTAAGAGAAATCAATTATTTTCCATCAGGAGAAAAAATCACTTATTCAACATTCTCTTCATGATCTAAATTTGCAATTTTTGTAATTTAAATGTTAGACCAATGAACATCATTTAATTAAGCAAAATCAAAGTTACATCTATTGATAATTACATTTGTAAATTTAGATTTACTTAAGTTGCAATTTAAAAAACTTATTCCAGAAATGTTGGTATCTGATAACTAAATATTTTATAAATCCTCTCCTTCAAGATTAAAATCGAGAAAAGACATTAAATAGATTAAATTAGATGATATTCGTATATATTTTGAATTCTTTGACATTTTTATTATTTAAACTAATTTCTCTCTAATTTTTTCTTATTTTCTAAGGTGATCTCTCACAATATTTAAGGCACCTGCAAAATTACTAAAAGTTAGATTCACATTCTCTTTATTTAATTCACTTTAACATATTTAATTGATATCAACTTCATTTGTAAAAAACCTTAAAATAAATTTGGCAAAATAATATTCTTATATCATTTTATACTTAAAAATATATTTATTACCTTATTTATTAAATAAAAATGGATTAATATATATCTTTTCATCCAAATATTATTGTTAATCTATATCATCAGCATTCAAATTTTATTAATCAAATTCTATTTATGTTAAATTATTAAAAGTCATTTGAAGAGCCAATTATTCACAAAATTTCTCAACCTTCGAGAAGACATAGTCAAATTCATATGATTCTATCTCATTTTCAAGTTTTTTTGTATACTTTTTGTTAAATGAAGCTACATATATTTGAAGTATTTAGAACATGGTCAAATTATTAGCCCTTAATGCTTCAATTACAATGATAGAATTAGCTTTTATGCTATATACATTACTATTCATTTGAATTCCTCTATTATCTCCACTAAGTATGTTGAAATATTCATATTGACTAAAAAAATTTTATTCTTCTAATTATACTATTATCTTCTGTAAATTTTCTTCCACATTAGATTAACTTATTGGTTTTAAAGAAATCAAATTGCTTAATGATGAAGTACTAACATTTTGAGTTTATTTTGAGGATTAGGGATATTTCTGTTATAATTTAAAATACTATTATTTTAATTATTCTTTAAAATAAAGGTCTTTATGTTATTTTTGCAATTTAGAAAATAACAAAATAAAAATTTCTAACTGAAATGGTGATTAGGTAAGATGTTAAAAATGATGATTCTATATGATATTTAAATAATTTCTTGAACTTCTTAATTTTGATATATCTATTGCTATCTTATTGTATAAGTCAAATTCAATATTTTCAATCAGTTGACTTTATATAATAGCTTATTAAAAATCTTAATTAATGGATATACTATCCCTAGGATAATCAACTTAATTTTTTTCTTATTCATCAATAAGTTTCTAAGTATCTAATTCTAGAAGTTTCCATATATTTTCAAATTCATTAATGTCTTTATTTTTATTATATTTAATATAATAATTAAATAATACCTTTTTAATTCTTATTTAGTGATTCAATTAAAAATATTTCAATTTTTATTCATCATTAAATGGCAATAATTCTATTTCTATTATGGTATTAATGTTAGTATATGCAAAATACAATTAATAATCGTAATAATCTTTAAGTTAAGATCTAGCTGATACAATAAATTTTACTGTTTTTCCAATCAAATTTTCTGTAAAACCTAAATGTTTAAAATTAAGTTTAATTAAATTTTATTTTAATTTATCTATTTACACTTCATCAATATCATCTATTAAAAATAGAACTTTTTCTACTTTAGTATTGACTGCTGATTAAAATTATCTTAATAAATTTTTATCTTTAAATATCCCATTTAATTTTTTAAGAAATACGTGCTCTAGATTTGAATTTTAAGAAAAAGAAATAAAAATAGGAATCCATTTAGATTGATTATATTCTTACCATAATTTATTTTATAAAATTCTTAGTTCACGACTTTTGCCAGATCCTTATGGACCAAAAAGTAAAAACACTTCACTCCATCCATTGGTATTCTGAATAAATTCTATTAACTCCTATAAACATTCATGATCAAAATTTTTTTGTTAATTTGTAAACAAGAACTCTTATTAAATTTTCCTATTTTAATCAAATTTTTTAATTTTGAATCTTTATTCAACATATATTGGATTAATTTTAAATTAACAGTTGTCAAGATGATATTGTTTGTTTTATTCTTCTTATTTGTATTTTAAAATGCAATCTTTATATTATGTCATCTATATCTCTACATTTATTTACTAATTAACATTTTAATTTCGTTTATTTTACATTACATCAACAAATGTATTTAATTCTTCGAATAATTCCTTACCTTATCTATCATTTCTATCTATAAAAGTCACTATAGACATTGTATTCTTAACAACTTTTGTTAATTAATTAATATCGCACATTAGTTGTTAATTTTCTTCATCTAATATACTTACGTCAGCTATTAATTATTTAATATCTTTTAGTAATCCTTTCAAAGTGGCTATATGATTTTTTTTAGTCAAATCTTTAACCGCTTGAATCCAATCAGGTTATTTATTATTTAATAATTCCTATGAAACAGGATTTTTTTATAAAACCTAATTGATCAAAAATTTATTTGACATATATTCTAATGCGGAAAGATTGTTATTATTAATTATCTCTTATGAAGTTAATATATAATTTTGATTTATTATTTAATTGATTTCAGATATAATTCCTTTTTTTTTTAGATTAATATTATGAATACCAGACTACCCAATTTGGTTTAAGTTTTTTTTTTGTGGTTAAATATAATTAATTAAATCTATTTTATTTAATTAATCCAAAGTTATATTTTCCACAAAATTATCTAATTTTTATTTATTAGAATTAGGGATTTCCATCATTTATTCATTTTCCCTTAATTAATTTAATTTTTAATTTTAAATGTAATTTTTAATATCTAAAGAAGCTTCCTTTAGATATTTATTTTTTTAATCTTAATTATCTATATGCTTAAAATTATAGATATGATTATTCACTTTCTACATTAAATTAGATAATGATGAAATTTAATTGTTTAAATTTTTTATTGTTGTTGATTTTTTCTATTATTAGAAATTAAGGTTTTCTTTGAATGATTTCAAAATTTTAGAATTTAAAGTATCCTCAACTTTAATTTTTACATCCTCTATACTTTATTTCTAAAGAATATCTAAATATAAATTTTTTAATTCATCCAAGTCTGGCTTTAATTAATCAAATGAATAAATGATAACTTAAGAATGGATAATTTATTAGACTTTTTCAGAAACTTATCTATAAAACTCTTTCAATCTTGTTTTTTAATCATCAACTATTTGTTTATGTGAAATTGATATTTAGTTTTTTTGAATTAAAGCTTAGAATTCTTCAAATAACTCTTTAACTTTCTCTATGTTATTTTTCTTTAAAAAGATAACCTCTAAAGTTTTATATTCAGCCTATAAAATATCCATTAAATACTATGAATCATTAAGATTTATTTTTTCTAATTGATTACTACATTAAGCAAATTTATTCTTTTGATTTGTATTATGTTTTCTTTTATATTTCAATATCAAATCACATTTTAAACAGTTCATTTATAATTTCTATAAATCATCTAATGAAGTTAATTCACCTGATAGATTTTTATCATCATCTATTTGACTAAAATCATTATCATTTAAAATACTATCGTTAAACCTCATAGATAGTATTGAAATAGCTGATTAAATAGGAATTTCTTATTTTTCTAATTTTTTATTGATTTATAAACTTTATTGCTATAAATAACGTTCGCTCTCATACTTATAATATTAATTTTCTTTCTTTGTTATAAGTTATTCAATTATAGAATAAAAACTCTATGGAAATGCTATAAGTTTTTTAAAATCAATTCTCATTTCTCTATTGGGATTCTTAATTTAATCTTCTATATTAATAATAAACTAAAAAAGCCATTTAGTACTATCCTAAATTTCATTAATATAATTTTAAATAGTTATTTAAATTCCATCTTTGAATTAAATATCCTCATTAAATTAAATTTTGTCTACTAATTAAATTTTTTCTATTTCTACTAAAAAAGATTAATAAATTTGATTTGATATATATATAAACTCAAAATATTCTTATTTTAAATTAGCCAATAAGTCTTAATTTTATTTAGTTTTAAGTTTCAAAATTATTAATTTTATTTTCTCAATTATATCTCTTAAAGTTTAACTATAGTTTTATATCAATACAACTGTTTAATAATTAGGATCGATTATTAAGTTTTCTCGATTAGTATCCTTTATTTCAAGTTTAACATAGAATTTCAAATATTATTCAATTAAAATTTCAGATAATTTCTAAAATTTACTTTGAACTAATTTAGAATTTTCATCATTTTCAATAGGTTAAAATTTTGCTTAAGCAATTAATTCAAATATTATTTAAATCCAATATTTTTGAAGAATAAAAGAATATTTATTCGAACAATGCTAAGAAAAAGTATATTAAAGAATATTAATTGGTTCGTCAAGAGTTTTGTTATAGTAATTCTAAACATCTTTCAATATAGACCATTTTATGACATAATAAAAGCTATATAGTTAAAAATCTTTGGTTGATATATCAGTTTACTCATAATTATAATTTAATAAATCTTTATTTTCTTCGAAATGCTTAACTATATCAAATGATTCTAAAGAAAGAAATAACTTCTCCTTAATAGAATCACAAAAAGTCATTTGATTATTCTTTCTACATTTTTCAAAAGCAATATGAATAATTGATATTTCATATTTGTAATCCTGTTGTGCTGTTATTTTTAAATTCTCAATAGCAATAGAGTATTAATCACAATACTAATTATTCAAAAAGAAATTTTTGTCTCTAAATTGAATTTAATATATGAAGTAGAATAAATCAAGACAGAGATAAATTAGTTAATGGCTTTTAATTTTTGAAATTTTAATAAAGCCATCTAAAGAGATAAGACAGTTCAATAATATTTCATAAATATCACCCTCATTTTAGGGTGAAATTTAGTAATAGCTGTTGGTTCTAATAAAATTTAGTTATAAATTGTTATTCTCAATATACAATTTGTTAATAGATTCCTTTGCTTTTTATAGCATCTAAGGAGAGTTTTATTAACTACTTATTAATTGCTTTAAACTATTAGCCTCTTCTTTTATAATATCGATTATAGGATTTTTATTATTATTCAATCTCCTTGTATCCTTTTTTATACATGCATTTAAAAGGAAACCACAGCACCCTCCTCCTCCTCTCAGATTTAAATTCATATGACCTGGATTGATGTCCATTATAATTTTATAAATAAATTATTTATTTCAGATCTAGAATTATCTAAATAATAATTAAAAAGAAATCATTTTAAAATCACATTTTTTATAATTAAATGTTCAAATAAAAGCATTTTTTACAATAGTTTATCAATATAAAGAAATATATACAAATAAGTCTAGTTAGTATGTTAAAAAAAACTAAATCAATTACTTACAAAATAAATAATAATAATAATAATAATAGAATTAAATAATCCTTATAATATTAAATTTTTAAGAAATTTTTATCATTTTTTTTATCAATTTATTATGCTTAGATTTTAAATTAATTTATTTTAACTCAGTTACCCACTTATCTAAGAGATTGAAATATTTTTCAAGAAATATACTAGCGATAGTTGTTTTAAGGTAATTAAATTTTTTTTATTTAGTAATGGTCCATCCAATAATATTTCTAAATTTTAGAAAATAGTAGAAATTCCTGATTAAAAAATTATAATACATGAGATTGATAATTATCATTTAATGATCCAATAGGTTAATTGATCAAGTGAATGAATATGAGAGATTTAATAAATAGTTATAATTTTGAGAACATAGAATCTTTAATGTATATAAGTGGTTTTTTAACCCAACTTAATAGGTGAATATAAAACAAACAGAAATTAAATGCAATCCTCTATATAATATCTATTTCACAAAAAAAAATTTAAAAACATTCAAAATAATATGATAAAAAAATGCCTGTAAATTTTCTATAACTAAAAATTGGATCAAATTTTATCTTAATAGTATGAATAACAATATTAAATAAATATATTTACTAGTTTCAAAGTTATTCACATCAATTAATCAATCAATTCAACATGCAAATAAAATAGGAGGGTTTCTAATTTATCTTCTATTTCTTTTTTTGAAATTTTGGTTATTGCTGCAACTATATAATTAACAATTTATTCATTTTGTTAAAACCAATATGTATTATAAAAATATTTAACTTATGGAGATTGAAGAATAGAATTAATGATTTCCTGTTCTAATTATTTTATTTCTTTTTGATTTATATTAAATTTATAATAATTTGAATATTCATCTAAATAATATTTAAATCCTTCTTAAATATGTTATTCTATCATATTTGTTAATTCCTTATATCTTTCATTTTAAATATTTTATTATTTTAAAGCTTTTTTTTAATAATCAATTAATGAATATGATTTTAGATTATTAGCAATTCTTGGAATACTATAATTTAATAAATATTCAATTATAATAATTCCATATTTTTATCCAAATTAAATAATTTATTTGATATCATTATTAACCTTTTAAATTAATTTATATCTTTTTGATCCAATATAATCATTTTCATTATCATCAATATTTAATGATTATATTAATTTATTATTTTAATTATATTAATAATTATAATCATTTAATTTTTATTTAATGTATTCAATAATAATATTAATAGATTAATTAGAATTACATAAATCTATTATTGGTTATAATATCTATTAATATATTTAATTTCTTATTTCTTAATTATTATTATTCTTTTTTAATTGAATTCTATTAAAACATTTATCAATTATTATTTTTATGATTACTTTAATTTTAATTGATGCTTGTTATTAATATAAATATTTATCTTTTAATGAGCAATTATATCCTGTAAAATGTATTGAATAATCTAAGAATTAATAAATTAAACTTGGATATTAACTAATTTCTGATAATTAAATCCAAATTCTATTTAAATCTAAATAATTATGTCCAATTCCTTTATTTTCTATATATTAAACTTTTTGTAATATGGATAATATTAAATATAACAATTAACCTAAATGAATTCTAACAAAATCTGATTCCTATTAAGAATTTAATATATTTATATAATTACAATCCAAAAAATCAAATCTCTTAATCGAATACATTTATTATGATTTATCTTATAACTGATTGATTTATTAAGAGGATCTAATTTATTTGGTTAAAATTAATCTAAACTTATGGCTTTTATAATATCTTCCTCATTTTCAAAAGTATACACCTCTTCTGTAACATATTACAAATGTAACATTATTATTATATTTCTATTAATTTTTCTTGAATAGTTAGTATTTATTTTTCAATTAATTGCTTATTGATTTTGAGATGAAATCGATTGTCTTATTTTCTTATGTACTCTACTTCATTAATATTAATAGGATATAATACACAAATTTAAACTATTGTATTATGATGTAATTACCTCTTCTAAATCTAATATCATTGATTATTTTTTATATTATGATAATATCGAAACCAAATAGAAGGAATAGCATTAGATAGATTAATTTAGAGTTTTCTAGTACTATGAAAATAGAGATGTTTCCTCTTACAAATTATTCTTTTTTCACTTTGGATTAAATATTTTAGTGTTAAAGAACAAAACAATAAATATGAAACATATAAATTTTTGTGTATATGAATAATAGTTAGATTTAATGAAGCATGATGAGAATCATTATTTAAGTCAATAAGAGATTTACTGAAAAATTTTAAGTCATGAATGATAAACAAACTTCAAATTATTTTTGGCTGAAATTGTAAAAAGAACATTCATTATATAATTATAACTAGAAACTATTAAAAATGGATTAGAGAAGTTTGGTCGAATAAATTAGATACAAAGTATTGGTAGTTTAAGTTAGATATAATTAATAAAATTCAATTAATATTCAAATGATTGATTCCAGCATTTAAATTTCTGAAAAATAAATAATAATTATTTGAAATAAAACAAATCTAAAAGATATTATATTTATATATTTACATCAAATGAGTTAAAGATACTTTTTATGAGATCATAGCAGATCAAAATTTGGATGACTTATAATTCACATAGTAAAATGAGTTTCACATAAAATTCAGGAATCTTGAATAGTCACAAATTTACATATAGAGGATTGCAATAAAATTAAAAATTGATAATGTGAACAAATTCAATTATTTAAAAAATCAGCAGAATTTTAATTATTAAGAAATCAATTAGGATTAGAATTATAATAATAATGAGAGGAAGAAGATAAGAAACTAAATAAAAAAAGTAAATGAATTGATATAAATTAAATAAATGCATACTTAAAATATTAAATGAAAATATTGTCTAAAGGTTGTTAGATTGTAGCTGTTCAGAATGAAAAGGTTCATTCTATTAAGAGTGAGCACTATCTAGAAAACGAAGATGTTGAATTGTATATATTTTAGGATGAAAGTGTAAAATCTATAGAATATATTAATTACAAAGACATACTCAAGAAAGGTAAACCTAATTACATTATAGGAATTAAGAAAATTAGTGGATCAGGAGGATTAGAGATAGTTATAACACAATGTGTCAATCCCAATCAAATAATTATGGAATAAAATGACTAAGAATTCAATTGTCAGGCTGTTAGAAAATGGTTAAACTTTAAATCATAGAATTAGTTACATTAATTCAATTAACTCTACAGAACTCTTAAAGATGTATTTTATTCATATAATTAATTAGCTTCAAAATGCCTAAACATCTCTTACTTAAATCAAATAGAATGATACAATAGATGCTTTCTAAAGTTGTGTAGATCTCTCAGTTATTACTAATAGAAACGATAGTCTCAAGGAATTGGAGTAATAATATGTCAAAGGTTAAATGAAATGGGCATAAATTGATATGGAAAATGCTGAATTGGCAACCAGAATTCGATTATTGCAAGTTGAATTACAATAAAGAAAACAGGAAATCAATAAACTTAAATTTTAATATGAAAATAATGCATATTAATTGTTGTAATCTAAACAATAATTAGGAGATGTAATCAATTAGGCTATAGAAATTGGAGATTCCTAAATTTTGGCAAAACTTGGATTATGAATATATATATATATAATTAAAATGCTAAATATTACGAAAGCATTAAAAGAAAGTGTTTCAATTGCTTTTTAGAAAGCCTTTGCTAGGCATCATGAAATCTAAATCATATTTCAAAATTTAAAGTATTCAACCTCTTGTCCAGCTACATTCTCTGAGTATTATAAATCCAATTATGTAAAATTCACTTTCTAATCATCTTAGTAAAAAGAATGGAAAGAAACTCTACTTCCAAAAGATGTAGCTCATGAAATTTTAGTTCATTTTTCATCTCCAACTTGGAATGAATTAAAATTGGTTTCAAATATTGAAGTAAGTCAAATGGGACATCTACAATTTCAAATCAATAAATAATATTATTAGCATCTAATAAAATAGATTGAGACTTCTTTATGGCCAAATCTTACTCCTATTTACAAAAGTATCAACATTTATGGTCCATTTATTAATATGAATGGTCCAATTAATAAAACAGAGTATATTATCTATTATAATTTAGTATGAGAGGACTTCACATTTAGAATAGATTGTATAGTGTATTATCTTAATTAAGTGAAAATTGTAATAAATTTAATAATATTACTAATTAAATTACAAACAACGATTATTTGATTCTCCCAGCTAAAGTAATAAGAATTTATGATTAGATTGTTTGCAAATCCATTCAATCCATTTCATTGGGGATATAATTAAGTCTTAAATGAATCACTACATTTTGATTGCAAAGATCCCATTACCCCACTTTATGGTATTGATGATACAGAACCATTGATTCCAAGTGTTGAATTACTTGCTCATTTTCCTTAACTCTTAATTGAATGCTTAGAATCTAAATCATTTAAACAATTATATTAATTTGAGTTAACATATCCATAATATTTATTAAAATGACAATTAAGTTCTGAAATAAGATAGTTTTATATTATTAAAAATTTCCACCCATTAAGATGATAAGATATCATTTATTAATTATTATTTCAAATAATTTTAAATACTTTTTAAAATTTCAAGATGGGGTGTCATAGCACAAAATTAAAAAAGCATCCAACATTTATTTAAAACAATCATGAACTAGATAATGAATTTACTATAAGTTGGAGCAAGAAGAAACTAACTAAAT